GGGGGGGGGGGGGGGGGGGGGGGGGGGGGGGTTCGTGGCCCAAAATATTACACAAAATATGGCACTCCTTGCGAAGCATAGGGATAAAGGTTTTGATTTTAATGCATATATGTTATTTGCAAAGGCTGGATGCAACTCCAATGAGCCGTCAAAGTTACAGAAACTCCTATCAAAAGCTGCTACAAATCAATCATGTAAATGCTTATGGGTACACACAACTATCTATAGTTCGCGTATAAGAAAGGCAAGCAACAACTATATCATTGTAGAAGAGGAATCTACTACTTCCAATAGGCCTTCTATCTTTGTTCAAGTTGGAAAATCAGTTGTGAGAACTTTTTTATTTAAGAAATTATTCGTATTAAAGAATAATAACAAGTTCCAAAGAATTTTTTCAAACATAAGAACACCCACATCACCTAGAATCCAAAAAATCTCTTAGGATTCAGAAAGTCCAGTTTCTAAAATGAGGCGATGAACAAAACTCTTGGTCTCGTCTGAGTAGGTATTGAAGGCAAAGCCATAAACTTTGGTCAACACCAAGGAACATAATAAAGAAAAAGAAAGTGTGAGTTCTTCATATCATGTTACAACACAAGGCAAGAAAGATACGTTATCTCTAATGGTGGTTGGTAAAACATTGGAGGATTTCTTGGTGTTACCATATATCTTTCATTGATGGAGACCCCTAAGAGGATGAAGATGCTCTACCAGAACTTGAAGAAGGTGTGAAGGTCATGGTTGATTTATTGAAATAAGTTAACCTCGACATAAATAAAGAACCGAGGCCCACCTATCTAAGTACTTTACTGACACTTGATGAAGAAAGTGCTTGTCTCAAGGTACTCAAGGAGCATAGAGATGTATTTGCTTGGAGTTGTAAAGAAATGCCTGGCTTGGATCTCAAAGTAGTCATCCATCGTCTTGTAGTCACAAGTGGGGCTCATCCTGTTAAGCAAGCTAAAAAGAACTTTAGGCCAGACTTGGTCACTTTGATTAAAAATAAAGTTATAAAATCATTGGATCTGGATTCATTACTAAAGTCAGGTACCCCACATAGACAAGTATTATTCCTGCGAGGAGGAAGAATGGCTAAATTCAAGTTTTCATTGACTTTAGGTATCTAAAACTGCATGCTCTAAGGATGAATTCTTGCTTCCTATTCTAGAGCTTATGATCGATGCTACTACTAGTTACAAGGCAATTTTTTTCATGGATACTTCATCAGGATATAACCAAGTTCACATGGTGCCAAAGGATAAAGAGCTTACTACATTCTTCACCCAATGGTATTTATTGCTATAAGGTGATACCTTTTGGCTTAAAGAATGCTGGTGTCACTTGCCAAAGGGCTATGCAGAATATCTTTATGTTACGACCCGACTGTTTATTTTGAGAATTTACACTTTGTTCAGTGGTCTGAGGTCTTGAGCAGCTTCATATGCTGTATTATGACTTGCGTGTATCGTCTGTTTTGGTTTTCGAGTGGTTCAAGATTAATTTGGAAGAATGATTCTCATTTTAGAAACTTTAAGTTGGAAGAGTTGAACATGATTGACTTTTGTGTATATGGTCTCGGATCGAGGTTTTGATAGTTCTGTTAGGTCCAGATGGTGATTTTGGACTTAGGCGTATTTCTGAATTTAGATTTGGAGGTTTCTAGGTTATTTTGGTTTGAATTGACAAAAAATGGATAGTTGAAGGTTTGGAAGGTTAATAGGGTTGTCCAAGAGCTGAATTTGTTGATATCAGGTTTGGATTGCGGTTCAAGAGTTGGTATGAGTCTGTTGTATCATTTGTGACTTACATGTAAAATTTGAGATGATTCTAAGATGAAATATGGTTCGACATGCATGTTGGAAATTGAAAGTTCATTAGTTCATTAGACTTGAATTGATGTGCATTCATACTTTTTTATGTTGTTTGGCATGATTTGAGGCCCCAAATAGGTTCGTGTTATGTTTTGGGATTGGTTGGTGTACTTGGTCGGGGTTCCAGGGGCCTGGGTGTGTTTCAGATGGGCTACAAGCCATTTCCTCATGTCTTTGAATTGTTGATGGCTGGTGTCTGATGTTCTTCGTTGCGATCGCGAAGAGGATGCCGCATTCGCGTAGTGTATTTTTGTGGCCGAAGAACTCGAGGGCCAAGACTGTTCAATTTGTATGGTTTCCATTTATTCTTTAATTGTCTATTTCAATACTAAACAATTCTTTTTATTTTGTATCAAGTTATATCACGTATCCTTAGAACCGTGTATAAATTCATTGTTATCCAATTTTAGGGTGAAGGGCCTAATTTAAAATCGATGGGCTGACCATAGAACTTAGGGTGGTTTTGCGACAAGCAGCTGGTGCACATAGGTCACGTTTATCTTCTTAGATTCTAGTCGATCAATTACTTTCTAGGGGCCTGCAACTTTGAAACGGCGCGAGACTATGAAATGTCATCAAAGCCCTTTTTGGCTCTTCCGTCACATCAATTTATTATCCCGCTCCTTAAATCCCTTTTTCTAGCAGAATTGCAATGCAAAAACGAAAATGATGCTTCCAAAAATAATATAAACATTCTTAATCTCAAATTATAAGCCAGGTTAGTGTTACAAAATCATACCTTAAAGAAAATATTTTTGAATTTTTCCCTAAGAAAGAACAACTAGAAAGACAGTACTCAATACTTTTGGATGATTTGAAAAATTAAGGTAAGGTCTGGATATAATTTTCGCAGAATTTTTTTTAATAAAAAGATACACGTATCTGAATGCTTGCTATTAAGGGTGCGAACATGAATAAGAAAACAGTCAATTTTTTTTTTTTTTTTTT